CTAAGTGCTAACAAAACTCTGACTTTTTCTGACTTATTTGCTGCATGCCTTCTCTGGGTTGGTTTCAAACCAGACACAGTCAAGCAACTAGCGTTGTCAGAACAAGGCCAGTAATTACAGCTTTCATATCTCTCATGACACAGGTACCTTCAAGAACAACTCCGGGCAGAATAGAAATGAATGCTTGCAGTGGGGCTACCCCCACACTGCAAGGGTTAACTGCTCGTTTTGGTCTAGGGACTAGAATAAAATAAGTTTTACTCACTTGATCCTTGGTCCCGTCTCCGTGTTAACTGTTTCCAGTGGAAAAGTTTACTAAATGTGGGTGTCATAAAATGTTGGCAAATATGCAGAAATTTACTCCAGCCTGACATCTGTACAAAGCAACACTTATGCCCTTCCAAATATGCAGCAAATCAGTTGTAACAGACATGGTCAAGGTCTCCTCGCTTTCTCATAGGGAAGGGGATGTGCATTTCCAATAGAGCATTAAGAAAATCTATATATAGCAAGGCAGACGTGTACTGTTCAGACGTGTCTCTTGTCAAGACAGGCAAGACAATGCACCTGCACATGTAATAGCAGATTCAATGGATGCTATCAACAAAGCAGCTAGCTTTTAAATTCAGCTAGGGTGTAAGACTTTAAAGGGTCCATGCACAAGAAACTCCAGCCTCTTGGCCTGTCTTGAGCTCAAAAAGCCAAGTTTGGTGGATCAATTAAAAAGCAAGTTATTATCTGAAATCACTTTAGCTCATTTGTATATTTTATTTGCCATAAGAGAGCAGATAATCTATGGTCCAGGGCCAAAATGTAATTCCTTGATGTATCCTGAGTAGTAGACATGTAAAGGAATGACACATTTACCGATACATGTAACCAGTGAGTGTTTAGAGTGGATTCAGGGAATCTCAGGTGCCTGTGGTTTGTTAGGTGCGGTTGTGGTTGTGTGGGTACATCTAAAAATTACATGGGGCGGTTGTCTGTTGCTTTCAGTTTAAAGTGTGACATGTTGCTGCAGTACAGTAAAAGTTAATTAATGTATGACCTGTGCCTGACTCATAAGCCTTGTGTCACCTCTGCAGTTGTTGAAGCTCCCCTCTTCAATATGGAAGCTTAAGGCATTTAAAATGAAGGTTGCAATAGACAAGTAAGCAACATTTCAGAAAGCACAGGGGGCTGAATGAACCTTCACTTGGGTTAATTCAGCCACAAGGGCTGTCTGGAATTTAAAGCAGAAGTTGCAGTAAAAATGCAAAGTCTGCTTACACTGTCCAGGCACCCTTTACAAATCACCTACTATTAGTGTACAACGTACCTGTGAAGAATAAAGGAAGGATTTATACCTACCTCGCCCCCGTCTCCCTCCTGTGGTGCCTACGTGAGGATGACATCACACTCCTGCTGGCTAGATTAGCCAAAATTTCACAAGATGTAACTGTAGAGACTTCTTGCAAGATTTCTCCTGCTTTGTGTTCCCCATGAATCTTCTAGGTAGGGCGGTAATGTCACACGCAGCGATGAAGAAGTGGGTAAGGTAAGTATAATTAGAATTTTTTTTACAGGTAAATATTAGACCTACTAAAAGTAGGTGATTTGAAAAGGGTGAGGGGGTCTGGGCAATTGAATACATTTCACATTGCATATTAATGCATTTTTGGGTGGTGAGCCCTCTCCAGTCTTCCAGCCTACATAAATACCATTCTGCTGGTTTGACATGATTTGTGTTTATGTTCTGAAATTTTTTTTATTTATCCAATAGTTTTCTATGCCGAATGCACTTCTCCTCACTCATCTTCCTTTGATGTACTCCCAATCTTTTTTTGGCGTTCTGTAGATATTAATCTTATGGAGATGCCTGTTTAATCCCAGCAGCAGCAATCTTGCAGTTTAATCAATGGTAATGTGCAGGGACACAGACATGGATACCAAACTGTAATAAAACGTACCTCTAAAATGTGTCCTTTTGCCCCGACTAAGGTATAGTAAATAGTCACCATGATTTTAAAAACATTTTGGTAATTGCAGCATGAACCTGTTCAATTTCTGGAAGTTTGTATAAATCTTTGCACCTGTCATGTACTTGTATGTGGAGCCCGAGATGATGAGCAAGGCCTCTTGCACATTTCCTGTCCAAGCACCCCTGGAAGCTGAGACGGGGCCTGCAAAGATGAAGGAAGGGCACACGTGCCTAGGTGCAGGAACTGGAGACTAGAACTCGAGATTTCTGGTATCAGATATACAGAGGTACAGCTGGCGGTGCACCAAGGATTTACCAAGTTTAGATGGGAGCAGAGTCAGGTCACAGGCCAGGGCCCTTAACAGATGAGCAGTGAGGCACCAAATTGTAAGCAGGTTCAGGGTCAGAGACAAGTCAAGGTGAGTAACATGTAGGCAGCGAAGTAGAGTCTCAGTGAGCAGAATCCTGGTCAGAAGTCCAGACTGAGGTCAATGACAAAAGTGAACAGCAATCATAAGCAGATAAGGGAAATCCAAAAGCAGGTCAGCAGGACACAGGGTTAGGAATGAAGGTCAGGCACAAATTAAGGATCAGAGATCACAAGTTACAGGGGTACAGACTGAAAAACCATTCAGCAATAAGACCATGGAGAACTGAGGTTTAAATAGCCTGCTTGGTTCCAATGTAATTTTGGGCATGCACACATGTTCACACGTCAGCGTGCTCTAGCTAACCTGTGAATGTAATGTCACTAAATCTATGTAAGCCTCTGAGCACGGTGACATATGTATGTGTATAACATGTATGCTTATTATACATATAATGCATAATGTACTTATGCGCATGTGTACAAATCTGGTTAATACAATATTTCTGACATCAAACCTTCCTCATTCCACACAACAGGAGAGTTCCAATTGTATATGCACAGAAGGACCCCTCTGGGGGAGTTGGAGACTCCTCCATGTTTGTACAGGGAGGACCTCCAAGAAGAAATGGCATTTATTTTAAACTGGAAATTCCTTTTAACATTTTTTTATGTTTACCTTTCATGTATAGTGTTTTATGAGATATCACGGCAAGCTTGTACTGCACAAACTGACAAGCTGTGAATATATGATAATAATAATAGACTATAAGTAATGTTTCATGCATATCCACATTACATTGTAATGACTGTCATTTAAGGCCGGATGCAGTACAGTATATATATAGCAATACAAAATACATGGCAGAAATAAATGTGTATGTAGAAACACTCATCCCTGATCTTGTCAAAACACACAGACATTATTAGCAGAAAGTGCATATAATATATTAGCTTTTCATCTGCCTGCACACTACAGTGAATAAACTGAAAGGCAAAGCACAGGCGGAGAGGAAGTGAGCTGCATGTGGCCCCAGGGCCATATTTTAAATTCCTACATTATAGATCAAGCTGAAATGTGCTTTGGTAAATTTAAGAAAGGCTGGATTAAAAGGGCATAAATCCATTTCAGTTAATAATTACAGTAGAGGATGTAAGACAGCAATGTCTAAGCTCTGAAAAACAGATTACAGGTACAAGTGGTTGCATGAATTGTCTGTTATTCATCTGGAACAAAGCTATGTTATTTAATGATGATTTAAGTTTGTTTCCAGATTGAACATCACTAGGGTAAGGTGCATTAGAGGCATAATTTTCAGATGAGTGTTTTCAGACTGCACAACTCCTCCTATTTTGAGTCTTATGTAATTCACGTTGACAAGATCAGATGTTCAGTGGGTTGTTTAATATTTCTTAAAGGAAACATGTGCTGCCATTGATGGTCTCTCTTTCTAGTTGTCTTTATTTTATTCTAATCAAAAGTATTTGGTGATTTGAGAAATACAGTGCACACAAAGCATGCTGCATTTTTATAGGTGCCCTATACCTGTACAGAACAGAGAACAGCTAAACACCTGTATATTCCTGAATGATCAAAATAAAGGATGAGCACACCCACTACACAATGGTGTCAAATTCCTAAAGGAGTAGAGGCTGTTCAGCAAAAGGAATATACCTTTAAAAGTGTATGTTCTTTTTGCTCATTAGTGAACATTAGTAAAAATAGGTAAAACTCTGTTCACTAAGAACACCCAATCATATATGATGAAAATTAAAGTAATAGGATTTCTGCTAATATATGATCGGTTGTTTGAAGTGAATACAGTTTTACTAAGCCTTAAACATTCCTTAAACGAGATCTGTGGCCAAACCTTTTTGGCTGTAGTTCTCTTTAGGGTCACAGGAGGAATGTCTCTACAGCTCCTCCATGCCAAAAAAGTTCAACCATAATCCTTTTAGTTTGGTGGAGTAATTAAAGGCACAAGGAACCATTTAAAGCCAATTGTGCCCTTAAACATCCCACAAAACACCTTTTAAATTTGTCTTCCCTATTGGCTTCCTTGCATTTGGCTAAATAGCAAAATTGTGCCAAAATGTGCTGATTTTTATTCAACAAGTAGCGAAGTTAAAAAAAATCCCCAGTTTACTCATCCTAAAACCAATGGGGTGCGTTTACTAAAGGAAAATAGGCAGTGACTTTGCAAGGGAATTTTCACTTGCAGGGGAAGTATACCCTTACAGGGTTATTCACAAAGGGGCGAAGAGTTTGGAGAAGGCAGGAGAAGGGAACAATCTAGAATGGCATAGCTGAACTGGAAAGTGAGCTGAATTGGAGAATCTTTCCAAATCAGCTATTTTGGCCTAGATTGTTGTCTGCTCCTGCCTTCTCCAAACTCTTCACCCTTTCATGAATAACCCTTTTAGTTGTGGGAAGGAGGGGAAGCTCTACTGACTTCCATCATCTAATCATGTGCAAGCAAAAGTACTTTTTTTTGTTTTAAATTTGGTTAATCAACCATAATGTGTGTGCAGCATGCAGAAAAAAAGAACATCCAGTGTTCCATTAAGACATAAATAAAGGAATTTTAATTAACTTACTCTGCACAACTATGCCCTTTACCACCACTTCCTTATCAGATTTTGTGTCCAGCTCTGGCAACCTGTCAAGTGTTCAGCACTGCATGTCATATCATGGTAGCCTTTAATATTTTTCAGCTTTTTACTATGATTTTTATTATTTGCTTCTTTCTGTGGCCTTGTCTCTCTAAACAAAGCAGCTCTGTTGAGTCTTGTGAGTGTGCAAATCTGTAAATAAGAGCTGTCACTCTCAAAGGAAACAAAAATGGCGTTTAGGGGTTCAAAACTCTGTCTTGCACCGTTCAGTATGTGGTTGGTCATGGAATGTCACACCAAAGCTCTTCTCTGCTGTGTTTGCTGCTTGGGATGCTGTTTATTGCCTCAGGGGACAAGACCTGAAAATACTGTTGCTGATATTTTAACATGGTGGAATAATCTAAAGATGGTAACAGTAGGTGTAAAATGGCAATTATATAACAGTTTGAGTAAAGCTATAACTTGGTTTTAAATTTGACAGAAAAATCGTGCCAGGCTTTAACAGAGAAATAATATACTGCACCTAAATGATTTAATTATGCAGGCATGTAAAGGCCTATACTATGCATGAAACAGCTCTGTTAATACTTGCAAGAATGGAACAATTGGAAAAAATTGGTTGAAAGCTCGGTATCATGCACTTTGATTTGTACTGACATTAAACTAGATTTATTTCTTTCATATGTCTAAATATCATTATATTCCAGCTTTAAAGGACAGAAGATATAGCACAGTCATTTACATATTTGTATATAATTGGGTTAGGAGGTTATGAACCAGTTTATTCAACACTGAGCTATGGCACACTTTTTAAATAACTTTTGATCGCAGCTTTACAAAAGAAAGAAAAGCAGTAATAAAAGAAGGCATTTAGGATTGTGGAATAAAAACATACAGCATTCCAACTGCATGGTAGACATTGGAACTATTCATGCTGTTATTGATTGCGCCCCCAACCAATTTACTGTACTCTACCTTGTGCCGTGTAATGGAACCCTGAATGCATTTTATTTACTCAACATTTTTAATAAAGAGGAACCATACAGCATCCAAACATTTACAATGACTGGGGTCCAGTTCTATTTTTTTGACCACACTAGAGTTTGTTTATGCTATTAGGTCGTATGTTACTTGTCCTATTTCAAATAGACCTCTGTCCAGAATTATTTATTTTTATTTTTCAGTTTTGGACAAAGAAAGGAAAGGTTAGAAAAGCCTCTAGGTTTCTGTTGTTGTCTGTTCTGTTAAAGAAATCCCCATAACTTTCATTTAGTTAACATTGGTTTCATTCAGTTAAGATTGATAAATCTTTATGCAGGTCATTTGAAAGAAGTACTATATTTATACTGGAAACTATCCAGGGCCGAGGACAGTTCTAATTTGTTACTATTTTCTGCCAAGATCAAATACAAATTCCAATCCAGAAGTGAAAATAAGGCTCGATAAAGTAAGAATCATTTTAGGTTGGAGCGCTCTTTGGATAGTGACACAGTGACATATATATATACAAATAAAACCAATCAGCAAAGACCAAAGAGCCCAGTCTTTCTACAGGAAGACATGACCCATGTGGAATTTATACTTTCTCTACTGGCTTTCCATGAAAATTCAGCATCAACCCTACAATACACTGCCCCCATACATTGACCAAAATTGAGTGCACTTCAAGTTTGCGATTGACATATTTGATCTTTGGTGCTTTACATGCACTTCATATGAAAGAAATGTAAAGTATTAACCTATTGTACCTATTGTAACCGTTTACATAAACAGCAATCTGATAAGATATTTTGCCACATTAGAATTAGGCTTATGTGACTTTCCTAGGGTATCAGGGCTGCTGACCGGCCAGTTGTGCACGTAAAAAATATTGTTCTATGTCATATCATGTATGTACCACTGGGTAGCTACAATTCACTTACATAATACATTGAACCTGCCAGCAAGTTAGATACCAGTGATTCCCAATTATATGTTGTTATGCAGCAGTGGCCAAAAATATCAGTTAAGAGAGTTACCTCTTTATAAAGGCTAATAGGTAATTTTACACATTAACATGTATGTAGACTGTAAGGGTCACAACTCAGCATTGTATCATCTTCCTATAGCATGCAACCGGTATCAGATACTGTATGTCAAGGCATTCAGCGCATGGCTGCTGTGCATTTTGCAGTCAGTTTATAAGGGCAAAGTTTCGCTTTTATCAATCTCCATTCCTCTGACATAGGCAGTGATTTTTTATTTACAGGGGTTGATTTAGTAAAGGCCATTTATTTTGAAAGGGAATTTTCCCTTAGCTTGGTGAATGTGGTGAAAATTCACTTTGCAATGAATACCCAATAACAAGCAAGGAAAATAAAAACAGTATTTTTGCTTGAACATGATTGGATTCTTGAAGTCAGAAGAGCTTCACCTCATTCAATAAACTAGGGAAAATTAAATTGCAGGTTAAACACCCTATGTGCCTTTAGTAAATCAACCCCAAAATGTGTATCTTTAATTTTAAGTAGTCAAACAAAATCTAAAAACAAAAGTGCATAACTAATTAACATGTGTGCACCAAAACCAATTTTTAAATAATAATAATAATAATGGCTAAATGTTTAATACTCTTGGTCCTGGGTTCCTACAGGCACTCTGTCTGCAATAACGTTTTATGTTATCCCAATGTTTGCGTGGGTTTAAATATACTGAGAGATATAAAATTTTAAGTCAGAAAATAGTTAAGGAAGATTTGCCAGATAGCTTCTATTTGCCTTTTTTGTCTTTAGACTGGGTCACCTTTCCACCAATGCATCATGAAGGCTCTGTTGCTTCTGTGATGTATTAGTAGCATGCATCATCAAAGAAACACTAAGTTCCTGATGCATTGCTCAACAGCATGGTGTCAGCAAGAACATTTCCCGGACTTTCATAAATTATGTGGAAATTACAGCCCCTAGAAAAAGTTGTGACAAGTTTCTTTTTTGTAATCTTGTAAAGGGCAGGTTGTGAATATGAGCAAACTATTGCTAGCTATGAAAACTTTTAAGTTTCAGATGTTTGTAAAACTCTTTACTGCACTGTGAAGTTTAAACAAATTCTATGTAGACTTTACACAGAAATCATATTAGGAAAACCCAAATATAATAGACTTTTTAATCATTCCAAAAAGAGAAATGTTATAACTAATGAAAAGAAACGGGGGACATTAAATATAGCATCCAAGAAGATTGGGTTGTATAAAAATAAACAAGTTTTAGTGTTGCAAAATATATAAATGAAAAATGTATATTAAAAACTTATAGATATAAAGTATATACAGTATATTTTACATGTATTACTCCTTTAGAAGGTTGACAAGTTTTGCAGTTTTTATCATGTGATAACCCTTATACACCTAGCATGCTGTCACTGGGAGTCTTGGGCAGGAATGTTTTTTGGACTGACTACTCATTACAGCCAGAAAGTATATCTGTTAATATATATTACATTTTGGAGAGGCAGCATATTTTAGGCCTCTTTTGCCTCCATTTTGTTGACCATCAAGTGCAACATTAAAATATTGTTATCATTTTACAATTGACAACATTATATAAATTACCTTTTGGTCATCTGCCTTGTCTAGGCATAATGGGAGCAACATAACTGTATTTTATTTTTACTATATCATATACAAATGTACTGGTCATATAAATGAAGCTTTGAGCAAATATTCTCTATAATGTACCGAAGAAGCAGATATAATCCACAGCGTATCACCATTGCGAGGGGATAATGAATGTAATATGCTGGAAAATTACTGTCTATATTGTATATCTGTACATTTTTACCATCTATTTTGATATTTTAAAATGTTGTAATAATAAAATGTATGATTTTTTATATAGCAAATCTGTTTATACAATGGCTCTTGGGTGCTATATTCATAATCCCTCGAATAGGGATGATAGCTCCTTAACATTGTAAAACTGATTTGACTACATTCACTGCCCACATTTTTCCTTCAAAAAGAAAGATGTGCTTCAATTCTTTTTGGTATATGCAAAAACATCTGAGCCCCTTGGCTTTACTTTGTTTTTTTTTTAAAAGGGTGCTTCCAAAACATCTAATGCAATAATTAGGCTTCTATATGTACAGTGTATATAGCTTTATATAGCAAATTTTATGTTCACAAAATGTACCAGTTCATTAAGAGGCTGTGGCAATCAAAAGCACCGTGGCGTAGTGGTTAGCGCTTCTGACATGTAGCATTGGGGTCCCTGGTTTAAATCCTGGCCAGATCACTATTTGCAAGGAGTTTGCATGTTCTCACTGTGCTTGTGTGGTCTTCCTCCGGATACTCGGGTTTCCTCCCACACTCCAATGACATGCTGGAAGATAAATTGGCCCTTTTATGTATGCAGGTGAAATCTTAAAGACCTTAGATTGTAAGCTACTTAAGAGCAGGGACTGATGTGAATGTGCACATGTAAAGTGCTTCATAAATTGTTGGCACTGTATAAATACCTGTGTAGCAATCACCCCTGAAGGAGCTGCCAGAATAACCTGGGTCATCAGTTGTTGTCTAGGGGTTTTGGTCTTCAGCTGCCCCATTAGCATTTAACCGCCCTCTTCTAGTGCCCACAAAGCTGATATGCACTCCAGAAGTATATTGTGAAGAACTTTTATTAACATCTTCACACTGGGGAGAGAGGGTATATGGATCCTAGACAACCAGGAAAGTACAGTCATAGACTCCAGACTCACCAGACCTTTTTAGCATCTCATTGTAGATCCATTCATAGCACGGCAGATAGGAATTTGAGTAGCCGATGGGCAGGGATGAGCACAGATCCTCAGCAGGAGAGACACCAGACTTGCTCCTGAGGTCCACTATGTTCCGGGCACCTCCAGCAGCCATCAGCTTCCCTGGTTTTCTTCTTCTGACAACAGCACAGGCCTCCTCCATTCTTGAGGCTTAGTGAAACACTTCCAGCACTCCAGCATCCCCACCCCCAGGCCTTAGGCCTAGCCTGGGGGATGGCTGGACAGCACCACAACCTGGACTAATCCATGGCTGGCACACGACTAGACTGAGCACATGGCAATTCCCTCCAGTATATGTACCATATCCCAGCATGCAACACTGTTAAAAGGAACAGGAAGCACTTTTAACAGGAAGTGCTATGACAGTTGCCTGTTCCCAAAGAGATAGGAATAAAAGGTGCATGTTTCCAAAAAAGATGTTATGAGAACTGAAGAAAATGCAGTGAACACTGCATATTAGCACAGCTGCATGCTAATAAAGAGAATCTCATGAATGCCATATGTTACCAAAATGTGAGCTGCAAGATGCCATTTCATTAGAGTGTACAGTGAGCAGTACACACATTACTGATACTAGTATCGACATTAAATGCTGCAGCACATATTTTTTAATAGACAGCTATATTTCCTCTTTAAAAAAGGTAAGAATGACTAAGGTTATTGGTAATGTCATATAAATTGCTTGGCTATTGGGTCTCCCTGCTGGTATCAAGCTGTGAGTGCAAAAAAATGTGTTCACTGGTTTGTGAAGAGATAGTACATTGCAAAAGTTGTACAGAAAGCAAACAGAAACATAAAGAATGTTTCCACAATATCACTCACTGTCAGAAACAACGAAGATGACTGATTACATTTTAGAAAATACCATTGCTGCTATTCCACGTTTTACCTTGTTTCTTCACCAGACATGTCTCCATTACCTGCAAAGTTGAGTGAATGGAAGGAATTAATGGTTTTGACTTGGCTTTTATTGGGGTTTTCTTAATATGAATAAATAAAAATAAGAGAAAAAAGAAAGTACATTGCATATTTGTAGACATGGAGAGGGGCTATATGTAAGCCATGGCTAAATATTTAAGCAAAAATGTGTAATAACACAGTATAATGAGCAGTAATTTTCAGCAAGTCACAGCAACCAATGGGTATTTAGCTATCTTTAGTCTACTCTACCCTCTCTAATGTGTTAAAGGCTGAGCTGTAATTGGTTGATATGATTTACCACATTTTTGTTTAAATTAAACCATCAGCACATGTGCTAAAAGTCTTTAATTGCAGTAAAACTGTAGTAGGTATTGATAATTGTGTTCACCATAAAGGTAAACTAATCTTGTAGTGACATAAACATTTGCCTTTTTTAGCACACATACACAGTATATTCACCATTTGTTAAACACATGTAAATATAGCTAGAATAGAACTGCACTGAAAGTTTTCACACTGATCACTCGTTTTGAAAACTGATAATCTGATAATACCCTTGTAAAAGCATTAGCAGAAAGGTAGAGATGCTTGATTGTTTTCAGTTTTTGTTTTAGCATATTTTAGTGTCCTGCCCACATTCCACACCCTTTAATTTATGCAGGGGGAACTTTGGTTCCCCCTGCATAAAATATTGTAAGGAATATTTTGTTCTCCCAGTCAAGGTCTATCCAAATGAGCTGCACAAATATAGGGAACTCTAATTCACACTACAGTGCATGATTTATAGTGTCCCCTGGTAGCACTGGTCGAGTTCCAATCCTGCACCAGAGGGCCTACTGCAGCATGTGGGATGCACATAACAACCCACCACAAATGAAAGCTCACTGGATGTCAACAAATTGGGTGATGCTGGCTAATGTCATTGACCAAATATGGTCATGACCATATTTGGACAATTATTTAACCTGGGATTCCCTGCGCCTTGATTACACTTTGAAACAAAGCCAATGGGTGCTCAGCCACAAGCTTCATCTTGTGGCAGTGGTAATATTGCTCCTAAATTAATGAGTTCTGGCTTCAACAGCCAGAGGTGCAGACAGGGAAATGAACTGGCCAAATCTGACCATTTAGTTCCCACTGTTCGTGAACTGCAAACAGCTTGGGTTCGGGTCAAAACACATGGTTGACTTGAACCTGAATCTCATCTATGCTACTACAACTACTAATGAAGGGAGGTTGTAATAGCGAGGTTAATTATTGCTGCCAATGACCACAAAAAAGGGGGTGGGGTTTAATTATTACTGCCACTGACCACCAATGAAAGGGGGAGAGGGGTCATTATTACTGCCACTGGCCACAAATGAAAGGGGGGTTAATAGCATTACCACTGACCACTGGTGAAGGTGGGGGGGCTTTAATGTTACTGGCACTGACCAGAAGCACTGGGTTTCATTTACTGCTCTTTCTGACACCATTGTTGAGGGTTACTATTATTGCCACTGACACCAGAGATGGGACTTTAGCAAAGGGGGAAAAGTGCAACATTACAAGCCACACACTGTAAAGTTACACCCCTTTTTTGACCATGACCTCGTTTTTTAGCAACACCCACTAGCAGTCTGCAGGTGGTGAATTCATTTATTTGTGCATACCAGGGTGCCCTGGGTTTTAGAGACTTTCAATAAGAATTCTAACCTGACCTACGGCATCTGATAATACCTACCATTATCTATATGGGACAATTCACTCATTTTTCTCTGACCTTAGATACACTTTAAAAACAATTTAAGCCAAAGGAGAAATCCTATTGCTTTTGAAGTTTTTGCTGCATTTTGATATGTATCTATGTTATATTGTTTGTTAACTAATTATATCTGAGTTGTTTCCTCTTTTGTGGGTCCTACAAACTGTGGGCCTTAGGCACACGGTCTACTCTTGCCTGGCAATGGGTAGTTCAACACTGCCAACAGCTGATCAAGCTACATTTAGAAATCTATGTCGGCTGCAATTCACCCTATTAGCCTGCATTCACACTTGCCGTGGCATCACGTTCGTGCACGTTCTTGCGTGTGTGTATTCACTGGGGCCTGCACACATAACAAATGCGGAAAAGAAGCTCATGTAGTAGTTTTTGCGACAAGCATTCTGTGCGTTTTCATGTGAGGCCAAACGCAGAGCAAATGCACGCATCTTCCTGGCCGTGTTTTGGGTGCCATTAGCATCGAATGGCAATGCAAGCGCATTGCGCATTTTGCCATGTTTTCGTGAAGATGCACCAAACCTGCATGAAAAAGCACGATTTGATGTGCATTCACGCAATGCGTGAGTGTGAATGCGGGTTTACAATCCCAATCCTAGCTAATTTCTAATCATAACATAAATAAGCCCTAGGACTCCATGCAAAGATATTTTAAAATGATGGTTTTATATTTGAAAGATTTGGCTTTCAAGGGTTAGAAGTGTTATGTTTTTGATGCCTGTAAATTATTACCCTGGTGTAAATAAATATACTTTGGTCAACACCTGCAGAGAAAACTTGTATTTAAGAGGCTTCCTTATTTCTTATTAGATCTTTTTGGCTTTAATGACATACCTCCCTAAACTGATAATCTCTATATTCTCTTCTTCTTCAATAAAAAGAAAAAAAAGAAACAGCAGTGTTTCTCTCCTTGGTGGCCGGGAGCAGGAGACTCCCAGAGCACCAGGGAGAGTTAGAAGGTAACCAGGGACGCTGATCTCTCTGCAAGTGGCCGGAGCCAGCTGTAAGATCACGGCTGGCTCCGCCCAGCTGTCAAAAGCAAGCTGTCGCCCGCCCGAATGGCCGGCCGATCGGCCAGCTTCGGCTTTCAGCACGGCTCAGCCGAGCCGATGCATATGCGTTCGGCTCGACTGAGCCGCTCGGCCACGTTCGGGAGCTGTACGGGCTATAGTTAATAGCCCGTACAACACCCCTTCAGTTCTACTGAACCGAAGGGGTCCTGTAGCCGATGCTAGCCAAAGGATCGGCCGAAGCTACGGCTAGATCCTTCGGCAGCTTCGTGAATAGACCCCATAGTGTTCTCTTCTTTACATGTTATCTACTGGACTGTTGATTGCAACCATTGTTCCACATCTTCTAACAACCATGTATGTGCAACTAAAACTTATTTGCAAGAGCATCCTCGTCACTCCAGCTCTGCCTGTACATTTTTGTTATTCCAAAGCAATTTTTCTACTGAGCAAGCAAAATTCTTCAAGAAATAAAGCGTAAAACTATATGAAACATTAAACAAGAGTTTTCCTCGCTCACTCAACTCAAAACAAATAAATAAATAAATAGCTGCTTCACCATTCATTCTCCAATAGCTTTTATTCCCAAAAAAATAGAAGCATTTTGCAGTCTGGATGAAACTCTGCCGTGGCACCCTATCTTAGCTTCATTCTACATGTAGCTGCACACCACTTATGTCTTTCAGATACCATAAGTAATGTATTCTGTTTTTAAGCTAGTAGTAAAGTGCTAAACTAGTTCCTTAAAGCGGATAGCATCAGATTTATGTTAAATTACAGGTATTTTTTTACCTCCCACAGAGATCACAGTGACAATGCCCTCATCTCCCTTTGGCTCTCCATAAAGTTGTTGCCATCTTTGTTTAGGCATCATACAGGGTCAGCATCTATGGTACTTCCTCTACACGTCTTAGTTAAGTTTACAAATGTTTGACATTACCTCTGCAGCCCTTCACCTTGTGACTTAATACCAGGGGAGGACTGTGAATCTTGAGACTGTGAATCTCATCACTTACCGTTTCAGGTTATCATTTATCCAGCTTCTGAGACTGGAAAAGTAGCTGGTGATGCATGATCTGTACTTCATCAGCTTCAATGTGGTCCATAGGTGACACATTTAATAGAACCCTGATGTCTCAATATAGGGGACCTCTTACTTCCATTATGCTATCACATTGGAGGCTTATTACCCCCTGATGTGTTAACAATAAAGTTAAGTGTAAAAAAAAGTCACATATAAAAGAATTATAAAACACACAAAATGTTTTAAAGCCCTCCACTCCCACACACACACAAATGCAAACACGTCGGGTGCACCTACAAAAACATGTATACATTTAGAAAAGCAATAATAGTAAGAGCAATAATTCTAGGGCCATCAATTACTGTTAACGCTAAATTGATGATCGGTAAAGGCTTTTAAGATGTCGCTTATGAGCAATTTTGGGTTCCGTAGCTTTCACAGGCATGTGCAATTGTAAGGCCTGACCTGTTTGGTATCTATTTATCTTATGTAACTCCATCTCTTATAGTTTACCAAACCTTTGTATTATATTGTGTTATGTATTAATAATGACTGGTAGGCTCCCCAGTGATTGGCGGAGGGCTACGGTAGTCCCAATATTCAAAAAGGGGGCAAGGTGCCAACCTGGGAACTATAGGCCGGTCAGTCTAACATCGGTAGTTTGTAAAATGCTAGAGGGCATAATAAAGGATTACCTGGTAGAATTTGTTCAGGAAAACGGGATAGTTAATGAAATCATTGGTGGTAGCAACATTAGCGATAAACGGTTTAAAATTAACTCCATTACAAAAACTAGAGGCCACCACCTAAAATTGGTGGAAAAAAAATTCCAGCACAAGGGGCGAAGGGGGGTCTTCACAGTAAGATCAGTTAGGGTCTGGAACTCACTGCCACAGGCAGTGATTTCAGCAAATAATGTGGAATTGTTCAAGAAACTTTTGGACGATTTCTTAAGGGACCGTAATATACAGGGGTACAGGTACTCCTAGAATGAGATCCTAATAGGTTGGACTTGATGGACTAATGTCTTTATTCAACCTCAAATACTATGTAACTATGTAACTATGTAATTCTAGTGTATTTTTTCCTGAAAATATTTATTTGAGAAACGTTTGCACAAATATTGTGCAACATAAAACGTTGAAACTAGAAATTTATAATTCTACATGGCCTCTGATTTTAGAAAATATATCATAGTTTGGGGGTTGTAAACAGTTTTCTAGCCAAAACTTAAAAAATGCTCCGGTCCTGAAATGGTAAAACAGATGTAGCCCTGCCGGGGGATACTTAAGCCACAGAGCCTAGCATTCCTAAAGCTGTTCCACTGCAGCTGTTCTTTCTCTCACACTGAGATAGGACAGTGTGACAGGGAGAAAAGGGAGGAGGTTTTGGATTGGCTGCATTAGCAGCCCAACTTTAGCCCCACCCACTGGGGGGAAGGAAGAAGTGCAGGAGAGTGTGGGAGCTGGGAATAGAGAGGGCAGCCAGGGAAGACTGTTTGGCCAGGGGTGCAAAATCTGGTAGAGAGAACTGCCAGGAGCTTGCAGGTGTGCTGTGAGCAGGGAGAGAGGGGAGCCCCGAGGTGCAGCTGTAGGGGGAGATTTGAGTATCCTTGGAAGGATACTTTGCAGAGAGAGGAGCGGTGTGCTGCAGAGATAGGAGTGGCCTCCTGGAGCTGCCAGAGCTGCAGAGAGAGGACAAAGACCCATTAGACCCCAGGGAGATTTTCTGAATCTGAACCAGCAGAGAATGGGGTAGGGACAGCAGCAAACAGCCCATCTAGAGGTATCCAAAAGAGCTGTCAGGGCAAAAAAGATGTAGACACTTAGAGCCTGGAAATGAGCTTCAGTACATAGAGCATAAAGAATCTTAGGATCCATTTGGGCACAAGTCACTGGCACAGGGACTCCAGAGTGTGGTGTGACCTCTTGCCTGGCCTCCAGGAGAAAAGACTGTTCAGCCTAGGACACCTACACAGCAGACGTTTGGCCGCCTGTATTTTTGTTAACCTTGTTTGCTGGCTACCTTGGAACTTTACTGTCATTAAGAGAATCCGGCATGGACACTTTGGTGAGGGTTGTTTGAAAGTTGTAGAGAATGGAGGCTGCTTGAAAGGAAGCATAAGGTTCAAAAACATTAATTTAAATGCATACCTTAATAGCTACAAAGGATATCAATCCTGATAATTACAAACGAACGTTCGGTGCAGCAAGTGACATAACTTTTTTAACAATAAAAAACTGTGCAGTTTCCCCCCAATTCATGCCAGACCCTTTAGGTCTGATAGGAATCTTATGGGACCCTAATGCCCAAAAAACTCCTTACCAGACCTTTGATCCAAGCAGCAGCCTGGCAGAGCAGGAAAGGAGGGGTATACGCATGCACCATACCCTACACCATACCAGGCCACATGCCCTCAACATGGGGAGGGTGCTTTGCTAGGGGGGACCCATGCAGATAAGGACAAGGGCCTCTTCCCCACATCTCTGGCCCGGTGGTCCGGTGGTTGTGAGGGTCTGCGATCAGGGGGGCTTATAGGAATCTAGGTGCCCACTTTCATAAAACACAACACAGTTTTTGACAAGTCTTTTATTTAAAACAAAAAACACACAGCTCAATGACGTCGTCCAGCGATGTAGATCCGATCATATGCAAAATGACAGCTCTGCTCTCGAATGTCAACAAAGGGGCAGAGTGAGTCGTGACGTCACTGGACTTTTTCCACCCATTTATATGCATTCCGTGACAGCTTTTGGTCCCCTAATGGAATGTAAACAATGGGCAGAACAAGTTCCGTGATGTCATGACTCTCCGTCCCTTTGTTGACAGTCAGGAGCAGAGCTGGCATTTTGTGGTCGCCGGGATCGGACGTGTCAGCAGGCATTGGGAATTTTTATTTTGGCTAGTCAGCAGCTGTCATCCATCGGAAATTGATGTGGATCTACATTGTTGGACCATCCCCATGTGGGGGGCATGTGGCCTGGTATGGTGCTGGAGCGGGGCACAAGCTCGCACCCCCCCCCCCCCCCCTCTCCTCCTCTGACAGGCTGCTGCTCGGACCAAGGGATTTTAGGGGGGACCCCACGCTTTTTTTTTATTTTAATGTTTAACAACATAAATTTACTGAATGACATTTGGAAAAAAATGCGGATGCATCCGAAATTTTGTTATCAAAAATTTGTATACATTCAGATCTGCTAATCTTTTTATTTGGAAATTCAGATGCATCCGAATGTCCAAATATGCCGATATTTGTCTAAATTTGAATTCAGGATGAAATAAATGACACATGTCTAGAGAACAGCAGTGACTGGTCTTTATTAAAGGAAGGGCCTGTACAGAGGAAAGGTTTCACACTGTATTTCTGCCCAGATCTGGAAGAAATACACAAATCACACCAAGATTTTAGGTATATGTAAACCCAAAAGCAAAAATTGCAGTGTTCCAATCCTTACATGTGGTGTCTGTATTAGGTTTATTTTTTAGGTTTTTTTGATCTTCCTTTAGCAAACCAAGCCACCCAGCAAAAATGGAAGCTGAGAGGTTGAAACAAACCATTCAACACTGACAGCGGTGCTTGCAATGATCAGGTTTTATTAATTTATATAAAACCTGTATCCCAAAAGGAAAAACAACATATTTTTTGCTGTAACTGCTTAAAACCTGTTACCTGGAGTTTGGATTTAACTTATTAGTCAAGTCTTCTAAATCTTCTAATACATCTAACACTACCCTCTCCACAGGATGACAATGCTGCTGTCCAAGGGACGCTCCATTGCTCTTCCATAGAGTGGAGCCACCCTAAGACAGGAAGTTTGTTACTAGCCAGATCACCAAATCAAAATAAAGAAAAAAAAACTAAAAAATGAAAACTAATCCAGCTACCGAGTTAAGGATTGGTAAACTGCAATATATTACATTTTTGTTTTTGGGTTTAGATACACTTTGAGTAAGAATATACATGGCTCTTGTATTTGGACACCATTTACTTATCTCGGAGTTCAGCTTTTACATGTAAAAATATATCTGATGCTAGGTCTACTATGGATAAAATGCTTATGGAAACAGGTACACTGTAATTTTAAGCTGAATGGATTGGGAAAAATACCAAACAAAATTTCATGAACCACCACAGGAAATAAAAAAGCTATAGTAATTTCAGTTGTAGGCAAAGATGGATTCATACAGAATTCCCATCTTTAAAACTGTTTCTAGCAACGATTTTATAGGTATTCAAAATGCATCAAACAGAAACTGTACTAGACAAAGAGGGAAGGGGTGAACAATTTTTCAAAGAATCGAAAAGCTTTAATATCACGCTAAGTACACACAGAGAACAGAACCTACATAGCTGCTTCAATCAAGCTACTGGTATGATATTAGTCAAATAGTCAATGATCTTCCTCTGCAGTGGAAATGTAAAAGCGAGGAACTCCAAAATCCACAGTTTAGTTTCTTACAATAGTACCCTTTTGACTGTCAGAACGAATTGCCAAACATCCTTTAGAAAAAAAGAACAAAATATAGTCAGTCTAAGATGTTATATCTGCATATGTTACTTTGTATTTTGCTGACTATATTATAATTGCTGCAAAATGCCAGAAACCATATACATTTATTTATGGCAAACTACATCATTTCTATATTTTTTTACCTAAACAAAAGAATCTGAATGGATCTGTGCATATCTAGGTCAATAGCACAATATGTAAGGTTGAATGTTCTGCGCTAGGAAACAGACCCAAAAGGGGGAGATTTCACAGAGAGTAAGGGTTAACCGCAAGCTGCTGAAACTAAGGCCAGATAAGCCTCATAAAATGGTTTTAGAATAGTGAGCGCTATGGGTCTCCTGGAGTGAGGTGAGGATCCAACAATGACTTATTAAATAAGTGATATAAAAATATATAAATATCTCTAAGTGAACATCTTATTATGTGGAATAAAAATTGCTGAAGTGATATGTGAATAAACGAAACAAAAATCAACAATATAAATTGACTAATAAAAATTGCTTAAATATAAATAAATGTTAATAAATAATAAAGTAAAAATTGCTTAAATGTAAATAAATGTGAATAAATAAGTAAATAAATAAATAAATAAATCTTCAATAAACCGTGTGTCCGTTATTTGTTTTCTCTGATTTTTTCTGTAGCACAATATGTAATAATGAGAAATAAATTCATAAATTACACATTGGCAAATTATGAATTTTTTGATTCACCGGAATATAGACTCTATATTCATCAAAATCCCAAAACTAACCCTGTTTTTGGACTCAACAAACTTTCACCACATCATTTCCTGCATACAAAATTAGACTATAAATGGCCACCATGTACAATTTTCTATAAAACCATAGTTTTATTGCACAATCATGGATCCATCAATTGGACACCCAAAGGAAAATAAAACCCTCATAAAAACACACCATGGTAGTATTAAAAATCCCTACAGACTGTATCATCCATTGAATAGTATCTAATAGTCACTTAACAAGTAGTTTTACAAATGTTCCAGTAGATGGCACATGTTTCTGAATTATCATTAATACTACTTCTTGTGATATTACTATAGGATAAAGCATAGGTCCTGGACAGTGAGTGCCATTCTAAACTGTTTGCAGGCTTAACCTTTCTTTCCATTCCATTTTAGAAAAGGTTTATTAATGTAGTGCAAATTCACTAGGCAAAGCATACCCAGTCATGTGCAGGGAAAATAAAAGAATAGTAGTTTAGCTTGCACGTGACTGAATGATGGAAGTCATCAGAGCATCACATCAAATCCTGTAACTCTTTAGCTACCAAGGTCCGCCAGTTAATGTTAGGGCTTTCAACCCTGTAAATGTACTAGTCCTTAGAAAGCTGGATGGGACCACTGGTTAGGTAAGTATCTTTGATATTTATCCTTTTAGATTGTAAGCCCTCAGGGGCAGGGCCCTCCTTACCATCTTGTCTTGAATTGTATTGTGATTGTAATGTCGTCCTTATATTGTAAAGCGCTGCGCAAACTGTTGGCGCTATATAAATCGTGTATAATAATAATAATTTAGTGCTCCAAACCATGTAGTGAGTGTGTAATGTTCAATACACTGTCGGAGAAGCAACTGTTGCCAGACGGATGACGTATATAAACCTAGTGAGTGGCAGCTCTGATATAGCTTAGAGGTGTTGACTTGGGCAAGGTCAGTCCCTGGCTTATTATGCAGTCATGGACAAATTTATTGGTACCCTTTCACAAAAAAGAAAGAACCTAAAAAAAAGAATAACCTACAATTTTCTCTAAAATAACTTGAAACTAACCCAAGTAATTGGCATCCATAATTTTTATTCCATATTTAACAGAAAAAAACTTTTTAGACATAAAACAAATTGAAATTGCATGGACAAAAATGATGGGATCCTCCACCCAATATTTTATTGCACAGCATTTAGAGGCAATCATTACAAACAAAGGATTTCTGTACCTTCAAATAGGTAGTTTGGCGCACTCTTCTTAAGAAAAAAGCTCCAGCTGTATCAGGTTTATAGGGTGCCATCCCCAGACTGCATGGTTTAGCTCTTTCCACAGATGTTTGATAGGATTCAGATCAGGACTCCTTGAGTCTTGGGTCTTTACCCTGTTGGAGGACTTATGACCTATGACTGATACACAGCTTTCTCACACTGGGCCGCTTGTTTTGCTCCAGAATTCCTTGATAGTCTTTAGACTTCATTGTGCCCTGTACAGATTCAAGGCACCCCATGCCAAATGCCTCAAAGCAGTCCCAAAGCATATCTCCTGTTTCACAGCAGGTATGGTGTTATTTGAAATCTTCATTTTTCCACTCTAAACATAAAGGCTGATGTGACTTGCCAAAAAGCTCCAGTTTTGTTTCATCTGTCCAATAGACATTCTCCCAGAAGCATTGTGGCTTATCAGTATGAATTTTAGTAAATTCCACTCCGGTTTTGTTTATGTTCTTCTTTTAACAGTGACATCCTCCTCAGTCTTCTTCTGTTAAACCCACTGTCACCTTGACTTTTTAGTTCAGCTTTTATCTCTTTTCCTTCGTTCTTTGTCTGCTATTCACACTGTCTGGGGTTCAGTCTGTGGTTCATTTTCCTCTTACAGCCACATCCAGGGAGATTGGCTACACTCCTATGGACCTTAAACTTCCTAATATTTGCAACTGCAGTCACAGGAATATCAAGCTGCGTGAAGATGTCTTTTAGCCTTTACTGTGCATGCTGGTCTATAATTTTATTTATGATCTCCTCAGACCATTCTCTCCTTTGCTTTAGCTGGTCAATGTTTAGTGTGGTACACACAATGATAATACAACAGCAAGATCTCCTTGCAATAATTGCCGAATCTGTGCCTGCCCACCTAGGAGGTTTGCATGCTCCTGCCAACCTTTATGTGTACCAGCGCCTCCTTTTGCACTGCCCATAATAAAAAATAATAAAAAATCAAACAGGGAGAGTAGCAAACTTATTTAATGACCACAGCAGGTGCTCAAGATCAGTTGTCCCCATGAGATATAAGAAACTGCCAGGTGGTTTTATTTTTGCAGCATCTACCAAAATGTTCAATGATTGCTGAAAATTAGAACTGTCTGGAACTGTTTAGATTTTGTATTCTGGACTTAGTCCTGACTTGTAACTTTTTGTGCCTGGAATATTATTCTGATTGCACCTTCAGTACAATTAAGGATACAACAACCTGCTTTGCATTTATTATAGTTACCTGACAACCCCAATCTAAAAAGCCTTTTTGCCGACACTGAGTGATTATGCCAACTACGTGTATTGTTGGTGTTAGTTGTCATAGTTGAAATCCTAAAGCACCCTGTGCAACATGATTGCCCACTGTCTGGATTGCATTTGGTTTGAGTTTGCAAAGTGGATCAGTCAGCCTGTAGAATTTTGAACGAAATTGGTATTATGTGGAATGCAACAAGATATGCAGGAACTCCCCAAGGTGGACAAGAACAGCAAAACTCAAAGGTAAGTGAGAAAAAAAATTAGATGCATGAAATGCAAGATAAGAAGCTGGGAATGAGCTGAGTTCCCAAACCCAATCTGTAACTGAAATATAACTTTTGGATGGACTAACCCTTTAAGTGTTGCTAACTTTTATCAGTAGGAGTGTCAGATTCTTTCAGCATAAAGAGTGTGTGGACCTTTACAACAAAGTATGCTGAAGTAATGTGAATAAAATGGAATGGCGACATATTTATAAGACAAGACAATATAGTTCAATAGACTAGAAGAGACTGAAAGTGATATAGAGAATTTAAATGTTTCATAGGGTCAACGAATAACTGCCTTTGCAACAATAGTCTGCAGTTTTATGAACAGTTAGGAGCCAGGAACAAACTGGTCATACAAACAGAAAATTATTACTGAATGACAGATGTGCACATGTCAATAGCTATACTTCCCTGACCGTATATTCAGTATAATTCTGATTTGGTAAAAGGAGTAACCCTTATTATAAGATTCCTTCTAGGCTGTAGTTTAGATGGTATAAGCAAGCCTCATTTTGACATAAACATTGCAGTCTGTAAAAGTAATAATTAGTGAACAAACGCAGTAACAATGAAATTACCAAAGCCTTATTTATTTTGTTTTAAACAAACAAGCGTGACTACCTAATTGCCACTTTGTTATTATGGTGAATTGTTTACATAGGCAGTGTGTTGTGTCTTTTTTCCATTTAGTGTCCTGAACAAAAATGCCTGCTTAATATGCAGAGAAGCTTCTTGCCCCTTGCTCTGCAAGTTTTCATTGAAATGAATGGAGCAAGTGAAAGGATGCTTTCCAGTACATTCAGAATGGGAAAGCAGGAGGCCTCAGATCATTAAACAAGATAATTATGCAAAGTATAGGGCCAGTCTACTGCAGTTTTCCAGAGCCATGCCTCATTTTATATTCTCACTAAAATGAGTAAATAAACAGTTATTTCAAAAATGTTACACTGTGAAAATAATTTGCAAATGTATAAAATGTTGCTTTGCTGTATTAGCATCATGGCATTCTCTAAAAAGGAATTATTGAACATCCGAATTTTTTTTTTTTTTAAATGATGAAGTAAATAGAGATCTATTTACACTGTATACACAGGCTTGAATTTATATTTTTTCTACCCAAGAGCAGCTACCTTGTGCCCCAAGCCCCCAAACATGCGCACGCACACATACACGAAAACCATACAGAACCACAACTAATCTCCAAGACTTTAGGACCTAATTAATGCAGACACAAGCTGAACCTTGTCCACACAGGCAATGTGTGACAGTTGCAGCGTCCCACGCTGGCTCTAAGTATTGGGAAGAGTATATTCTGATGAAGAGGATGTGATTCCCCAAAGTATGTCCCTAGCAGGGCCGGACTGGGACTAAAAATAGGCCCGGGCATTTTAGACTGAGCAGCCCAATCACGTGACCACAGAGACTGCAGAGCCCCCTCAGATGCTGCAGAGCCCATCAAAGGCTCTGCACAGCACACCTGAGACTCTTTGGTGGGCTGTGCAGAATCTATGCTGGGCTCTGCCAGCATATTCCTCTTACCTTGCACGGCCTGACCTCTTTGGAACGCGGCCTCCTTGTAATCTTCGCTGCCCGACTGGAGCTTCGGCGACGCCTCCCGCCTCCTCCGTCAGTGTCTCTGCCTCTTCCGTGTCTTCGCCTCTTCCGTCTCGGGGGCACTCGACACATTTTTTTCTCTCATGGGGGCCGTCTGCCACATTTCATACTTTAAAATAAAGTGTAACTGTATCCAGTTTACGTACTACAGACACTAATACACACACAATAAGGTCCTATTCATATCTGTAGGTTTAGGTGCGATTAGGGATTCCTGCATCAGAAACTTGCGTTTTACTGCAGCAGAAATCCCTTATCTGGCGTTTTCAAGTGACAGCTGTCACCTATTCAAGTTAATGATCAGGTGACAGCAGCTCCATGTAAACGCCTGCACACCGCATGTAATGATACGTGATATGATTACATGCGTCCAGGGAGAGTGATTGATTCCTAGCGGAATGTAATTAATATCACGTATCTTTGCATGCGGTGTGCAGGCGTTTACATAGAGCTGCTGTCACCTGATCATTAACTTAGAAGACAGCTGCCATTTGTAAATGCCAATTTAGGGATTTCTGTTGCAGGAAAACGCAAGTTCCTGACGCAGAAATCCCTAATTACACCTAAAATAAAGGTGTGAATGCAGCCTAATACACTTCTACTCCCCAAACACCCCCCACCCCCCGTAAAAAAAAATACATACACACACACAACCCCAGTTCGTGCCCTCTCCCCCAGACCTTACCAACCATTTTTTCACAATCCTTTTGGCCAGCGTTCACTGAAAGAGCGCTGGCCGAAAGGATCCGAGTGTAGGCGCAGATTCAGCTACACGGACTGCTTCCGACAGAGATGTAGACCATGTCCGCAGCTGCGATCCCTCCTGTCAGCTCTCTCTTTCTCCTCCCGGCCGTTCTGTAGCTGCAGCGGCCGGGAGGAGCTAGAGAGCTGACAGGACGGGTCGCAGCGGTGGGGACCTCAGCACTGCCTGCCACAATCCCTTCCGCAGCTCATCTGACGGCACCATCTCCCTGCCCCCGCACCCTTCGGCGGCCAGCAGCTGCGGGCATAGGGCCCGGGACGGGCCAAACACAATCAGCCTAATTTTCGGCCCGTCCTGGCCCCTATGCCAAAGCTGCTGGCCGCCGATGGGTGCGGGGGAGGGGAAAATGCCGGGAAAGTGCCTGGTATGCCCGATGGCCAGTCCGGCCCTGCCGGCTGCCAATGTAATGAAACTATTCGCACTGACCGCCAATGTAGCGAAAGTGCTGCGCTAGAACTCCTGTCCTGGAGGTGACAGGGTCAATAAAGAGAACCTGTCACCTCCAAATGCTATCACACAAGGGTTGTTAGCTCCTGTGTGATAGCAATAAAGTTAAGTGAAAAAAATTAAATTAAAAAAAGAATTAAATAAATATAAATAAACAAATTAGTACAAAATAATAAGAAATAATAATTAAATAAAAAAATTAAAAGGTGATGAAAAAGTAAAAAATACTAAGAAATAAATGAGAAAAGAATTATAAAAAATAAACAATAATAAGATAAAAAATTATAAAAAAATAAAAAAGTAAACGACAAGATAAATAAAAAAAAGTTAAAAAATGTAAAAAGTGCTAATAAAAGGGGAAACAAACAATAAAAAAATTAAAACTAACCCTGCCACCCCTGCCATTCTCCATTAATGGGGGGGGTGTATTGTGGAATCTGGCCTTGGGGCGGCAGGGAGAGTAAATCCCTGACCATACACATACCTTGTTCTTGCAGTCTTCTCTTCCCTTCTCTTCCTTAGCAGCGGGGGAGGGGCGGCGATTTGCATATGAATGAGCCGCGATATTTACATATGAATGGGCCGCAGCTTATTGATATGCAAATTACCGCGGCCCATTCATATGTTAATATCTCGGCCGGTACCGGGACAGTGCAGGCTGCAGGAACAGCACCAGCAAGCTCCGGAAAGAGCACAGAGTAGAGAGGGCTGGGGGAGGAGGTGTTTCTCTGGCCTCCCCCACCAGCGCCCTCTAGTGTCTACTGTGTGGTAGTGCCGGCTCTGCTCGCTACCACACAGTAGACACTGCTCTGCACGGAGCCGGCCATCGGCATAGCGGACCGGCCCGAACACAATCAGGTTGATTGTGTTCGGCCCGGCCCACCGGGCAAGTGCCAGGTTTGCCCTATGGCCAGTCCGGCCCTGGTCCCTAGCTACAGTAACCTTGTGTGGACAGAACTGTCAGTGTGATTGATTTCTAGGGGGAAACAGAAGGAAGTGATGGGTGCCACCAACTTTTTGGAAACGTGTCTAATTCTCCCCATCACACGGTCCACTCCAGCTATGGAACACCACAGCTAATTCATTAGATAAAGGATCTGTAGCATACTCTGTTGCACTTCTATTGCCACACAAAGATCTACACTTGTGAGGGCAATTGTTTAAAATGTTATATTTGACTCTCTCAGTACTTCTCCTTTAAATCTTCTCCTATAACTCTAAATATATTATGGAACCACTGAACATGATAAGGTCTAGACCGAAAAACATTTCTCTCTAACGCTACAAACCCTTACTGCTATCTTCTGCAGTAGCTAGTTGAAACAGGCAGAGGCATAACTAGAACCTTCAGGGCCACGCTGC